TACAATGCAGCAGCTCCCCTCCCACTTCCTCCCCATAGTTACCTCCTCCCAGTGTCCATCCCTTCATACTCTTCTGCACCCTGAGCTATCTCCCTGTCCTCCACCAGCTCTTACACAAAGTCTTTGCTTCAAGTGACAGTCAAGGGCCGAGCCTGGCCTCCTCTGCATTTGTGACATCTAGGGTTGGGACAAGACTGAGGCCTTTAAGGACAAGAATAGCGAGCAATGGGGAAGGACCAACCAGGATGTGGCTTTAACAAGGGAGCATCCACCTGCCTGAAGTCAAAAAGAAGACGACCATGCTCCCCTGTGCTGTGTCAGGCCAGGGCCCTCGAGGCCTGAGACACCCCCACCAGAAATAAGCTTTTGTAAAGTTTTTTAAGCACAGGCCTGATGCTACCTTTGAAAGCCCCCCAGCTGGCCACTCCTTCCTCCCAACCTTGAGAGTAGGGAGAGGGTCGTGAGCAGGAAGCCAGGCAGCAAGCACCTGGGATGGCAGTTTGGTTTTCGAAGGAGAAATTGGAGGCTGTTGAAACCCACTCTTCTCTCACCCCTCAGAAAGGTCACTGAACTCGTCTTTTACCCGGTCATCCGAGGCTGGAGATGGAACCTGCTTCTCACCCGACTGCCCTGAGAAAGAGAAAAGGTTCCTGTCACCACAGGGCCTTCTCACCTCATACCCCATGCACCCTGTGCTCAGCGCTCAGCCCAGAAGCCCTGGGGAACATCCCACATGAGCAGGTGCAGTCCTTTCCCAAAAGTTCAGACTCAGGCCTCCAGTCCCTGGGGGGCTGTGGGTGTTCTCAGATATTTAAAGAACCATCTTTATCAAACTATTGTGTGCACACAGTTTTGAAGCCGGGTGGTACTAACATGCTCATGCAGCCACAGCACTCCCTGCCCACCCATCCCAAGGGCCACTGACCCACACCAAGCTGCACCATTTTACAGTGCCACCCACTGTGACACAAGAGTAGCCAAGACCCCACATGTACACAAATGCACACATGCAGGAGTGTGTACGTGGGAGAGTATACACATAGATAGCTATGCCCACACCATACACTCAAGGATCAAGACACAGGCTGGAAGGCTGGCCCCTGCCCTCCTAACACCAGAGTTCTTGGGCAGTCGCCATGGGGTCTGGGCCCCATCTCCCCTGTCTGTACTGGTCCCACTGGAGTGTCCCCAGAACAGCTGGCTGAGGTCCAGGGAGTGACCTACAGCTAGCCCAAAACATCAGTCTTGACAGTAGAGCCCACCCCTCCCCCACTCCCCACAGACAAGGGCTCCATTTTCCTCTCCCCTCAGAGCTCTCAGCTCATGAGAACAGCCAGTGCCCTCTCCCCAGAGCACGGAGCGAAAGGAAGACTGGAGGCCCGAGGCACGTGTCTTTATAAAAACCACTCAAACGGACTGCTCACGAAGGGCTCAGGGCCCCAACCTGCCAGCTGCCCTGGCTTCCTCAGCCCAGTGAGCAGCTGAAGGCCCCTCTGAAGGGCTGAGCCAGCTCACCTGTCATCCCCACCAGCGCCCCCAGCTCAGGATGATGGAACCTGGGTGTACAGTACAGGCCAGGGGAGCCTCCTACCTGGAGCCCCACCGGGGGGTGAGCTTGGCTGGGGCGGGAGGCTCTGCCCAGGCCCCACAGGACTGCCATCCAAAGGAGGCTGGGCCGCATCCATGCTAGGCACTGCTTCTGTCCCAGCCTCGGCCGTGGTCCCTCTGCCCTGGGAGTGCTGAGGGGCAGCTCCAGCAGGATTAGGCCCGTGACTGGGGGTGAGTCGCGGGCCTGTCTCCTTGTCCCATTCCCACTTGACCGCCAGAGTGCTGTCCAGCACAAGGGCCCCACAGGCGGAGTCCGTGTCCATGACGTAGTCGTGGCCCTGGCTGCAGCCCCACACGGCCTGGATGACGCCATAGTACTCAGAGGAAAGCGTCCTTTGCAGGCTGGGAAGGGCCCCACAGCCAGCTGCGTGCCCATGCACCCACCCGACCAGAGCCTGCAGGCACCGGGGGCTCCACGTAACCAAGTCTGCTGAGAAGAGTTGACAAAGTTAGCCCCAGCCAGTACCTGCCACCCTAGCTGCCCATGTACCCAGATGCTCACCTGGACATGCCCCCTCCACAGCAGTCTGGGGGTGGGTCCCGACCCTGCAAAGGATCAGGTGGCTGTGAGCAGAAGGAGCAGGGCCTGCAGCTCAAGGCTCTGTCCTACTTCCACAGCTGTCCCCAAAGTCTCAGAATGTCCTGCTGTCTGTCAAGTACTGTCGACTCTCCATGAACCACTCTGCCTTCCCCTTCCTCAAAGCCCTACTTGAGCCTCACCTCCTGCCTGCCTTCTTGACTGCCCCCCTCCCCACGCTTGCATGATAGTGTTCACGGTGTCCCTTCCACAGAAGTTCCTAGCCAGGTCTGCTCTGCCTACCATGGCACCTGCCCCCAAAATTGCACCCGAGGTGCCTGGTGGACACTCCCCAAGAGTACAGACGAGTGCCTACTTTGTGCAAGGCTTCTGGCGGCGCGTGGGGGAGGCATTGACTCTCTGCAGGAAGGAGCTGAGGAGGCTGTGGCACTGGTAGAACTGAGCATGACAATTCTTGCAGACGAAGGGTGACAAGGCTGGGTCCTGGAGAATGGGCACCCCCAGCAGGCGCTGGAAGTCCCTAATGAAAACACGCTCCCCCGGGGGTGCTCTTCCCACACTTTCCCCAGATCCCCTATTAGAGATGCTGCGGAGACTCCTGGACGAGAACTTCCCGTGGCAGAGACGACAGTGCCCCATGGCGAACATCCGGCCAGGACCTGGGCAGAGCAGTGGGAGAGATGAATGGTCAGCGGGAAGCTGGCTCCTAAACGTAGGCTGCTCTGCTCTGCTCAGCTCCGATTGTCTGGGCACAAGCACCTGAGGCCCAGAACTCACCAGCCAGAAGTGTAGAAGCGTACTAGGCTCTCAGCATTCAGGCCAAGACAGGCCTTCAGAGGATGAAGTTCTCACACAGCAAAAACTTTCAAATGATCCTAAATACTTCCATGGTCCCAACTCTTGTCTTCCTCACCCTAGTCCCCCTTACCCTTTCTCCCCTTACCAAGACCCCTCATACAGTGCTCCTCACACCATGCTCCAACACTCAGTCACCTCTCCTACTACTACACTCACCTCAGCCATCCTCACCCTGGCCACTCTCACCTTCTCTCCCCTCACCTGATGCTCTTGTCCTCTCACCCCAGCCCCCCTCACCTCCTCTCTTCTCCCTTCCTTGCCTCTAACCCCATCACCACCCTGCCTGTCTCCCCTCACCACAGCGCCCTTACCCCATCTCTCCTCACCCGTCCCCCACCCCATCTCCCTCACCCCTTCTCTCCTCACCTTGTCTCCCCTCTTCCCAGTGCCCTCACCCCGTCACTCCTCACCCCAGCACCTTCACTCCATCTCCCCCCACCCTGGCACCCTCAGCCTAACACTCCTTACCCCATCTCCCCTCACCCTCTCTCCCCC